ATCTGAGGTGGGATTTAAATTCAGTTCTTCCTAACTCCAAGTCCAATGCTCTACCCACTCTGACAGTTAGCTATTATGCAATTCCAATAAATGGGGAAAACATGGCTATTTGGGCATTTTGGTGTTCTCTTCTGCCACATTTCATCTCCAAGGACCCATCCTTTTGATGGATCTCTTGTTATCTTCGGAGAGCCCAATATACCTGCTTTGGGAGCCTCTGCACAGAGCATGAGCTCTGAGATCTAAAGGGGCACTAGAGCTTTCTGATATTTTGCTAGCTATAGCCCAGAAAGAGAGAGACAGAGAAACAGAGAGAGACAGATCGACAAAGACAGACAGCCAGGGGCAGCTAGGTGGCACAGTGAATAGAGCACTGGCCCTGAAGTCAGGAGGACCTGCATTCAAATCCAGCCTCAGATACTTGACACTTACCAGTTGTGTGACCCTGGGCGAGTTACTTAATCCCAATTGCCTAAAAAAAAAAAAAGACAGACACAGAGAGGAGAGAGAGACAGAAACAGACAGAGACAGAGACAGACAGAGAGGGGAGAGAGACAGAGAGAGAAGAATTGTGCTGGGAAACTCACAGGAGTTCCTAACCAGTGAGAATCCTGTGTTTTGGAACTGTTTTATAGTTCCTTTCAGTGTTTTGATAGTTTTCTGTAATAGTTCTGTACTGCACAGCCAATTTTTCTCCTCCCGGCCTGTTCCTAACTTTCTCTGTACTTCAAAATCATGTCTTTACTGCTGTGTCACCCTGAAACTTTCTTATGAGCTTGAGACCTCTTCACCCTGGGACATCCTACCATGCCAGTAGCCTGCATACCCTGGAATATCCCTTTGCAAGGCCTGCTCCTCTTCCCTCATTGGTGAGTTCTCCTGGGGCCTCCATTTTGTGATGGGGCCAAGACCAGGTTGACTTCATTCCCCTCCAGGCCCTGATCCTGACTTTCTTTGGACTTCAAAATCCTGGCTAGGTCCCTTCATTTTACCCTACTCCCTTTCAGCTTCCTTGTGTGTGTGTTGTCTTCCTCTATTAGAATGTAAGCTCCTTGAGGGCAGTGACTTTCTTTTTGCTTCTATTTGTCCCCAGGACTTAGCACAGTATCTAACATGTAGTTAGTGCTTAATAAATGTTTCCTTCCTTCCTTCATATAGGCTCATGAGGTAGAGGGCTACCATGGGTGACCCAGCTGAGCCATGGCGTTAGAAAGCAAAGTAGAAAAAATGTGCCACTATTTCAATAATGATCTGCTTTGATCATCAGTGACAATGAAACCACTTGATCTGGACACCTTAGGGCCTGCTGGACTATACATTGAAATGTAACCTAGACTAATGAAGTTGGGAAGAATAACTGGACCAGATCAAATACTCACTAAAGAAATCCATGATCAAAGTAGCTGAAACTTGAAAGCATTAAGGACCATTGTATATTTCAAAAACAATGGGAAAAATCATGGATTAAAAAGAAAAAGTGATACCAGTAACTCCCAATCTAAATGCCTCGTTTTGTATCTTTTTAAAAATTACGTACATAGGTATTGAGGGTATGCTTGAGGAAAATATGAGAAGGAAACAGGCAGGTCTTCACAAAATAATTTTCTAAAGGAATGCAACTAAGCGAAAACAAACATATTCCTCATTTTGCTGCTAGCTTACTACCTCTATGCCAACATTCCTTCGGACAGATTAGTTCCTCTATCCATCACGGTTCCTTGGTTCCTGTGACAGGGATGCTGTGTCAAAGAGGATTCATAGCTGAGCTAGGAAATGCCAACAACTCAGGAGGCTATAAGAAGGATGAGAAGAAACAGCTTGCAGTCTCTTTGGGTCCTGCCTGATCTGGAACAAAGTTCTCTCTCACACTTTTAGTGGGAGGGAGAGAGGATCCCCCCTTCCTCCTACTCGTTCAGCAGCAGCTATTGTGCCAAAGAGCACACAGTTGGTGGTTAATAAACGCTTGCTGATTGTTTCCCAGAGTGGTTAGACCGATTCACTACTCCAAACACAATAATATGCTGTGCTTCTCTTACTACAGCCCCACCAACATTTCCTGCTGTCATCATTTGTCATCTTTGCAAATTTCATGGGGAAACCTCAGAATCATTTCAATTCGCATTTCTCATATTAATAGTGACCCAGAGCAATCAATTCAGATGGTTCCTGATAGTTTACACTTTGTTTCAACTGCCCGTTCATATTGTGACCAGGGCATTTCTGGCTCAGGCTTCTTGCCACCACTGTGCTAAGAAAAACACGGCCCCAGTCTCTATCTTGAGCTTCTTGACACTGCTTGAAGCAGGCAGGTCACACATCCTGCTGAAGTCTGCAGAATCAAGCTTGGAATATAAACTTCAGCTCCAGTTTGGACCAGCTTGTTCCTGGACTTAACTGATACAGACATCCTCATCTCACCTTTCCTTTGTTTCCAATGTGTATGCTCTTATCTTCCCCTCCTGCATTTTCTAAAATTCCATTCTATCCATCTTGCTTATGTATTCACATTCTATAAAATTAACACTCTGGGCTCACCCACTGGTAAATTTTCCTAGTAGCCTGCTTCTGAGTATAATAAAAAGGTAGTTACTATCTCTGCGTCATTGGTTCAGTGATCAACATCAGTGCCTAATCAATAGATCTTTGAATAACTTTTATCTCAGTATCCTTTGAGCTCTTATCTATTGGAAAATTGTTCTCAATCCTAAATATTTGTATCAATTACAGTTTTATCTGAGATAGTGCAGGTGAAGATATTTTCCTAATGTCAACAGTTTCCTTTCTTACTTTAATTAAGTCGATTTTGTTTGCACAAAAGCTTTTTGATACTACGTGAACAAGTGTCCCTTTTGTCTTTTGTGATCGCCTTTATCCCTTGGGGCAGCTAGGTGGTGCTGTGGTGAATAGAGCCCTGGCCCTGGAGGCAGGAAGACTCATCTTCAAATCTGGCCTCAGACACTTCCTAGCTGTGTGACCCTGGGCAAGTCACTTCACCCTGTTTGCCTCAGTTTCCTCATCTGTCAAATGAGCTGGAGAAGGAAACGGCAAACCACTCCAGTATCTCTGCCAAGAAAACCTCAAATGGAGTCCTGGAGAATCAAACAACTCAGTAACCTACCCCTTGTTGGACTCTGCATTTTCCTTCAATCTATTGGCCTGAAAGTGACCACTTTCCATTCTCCTCTAAGTTTGGCACATTGTTATTCTGTTTTTTGTTTGTTTGTTTGTTTTTGGTGAGGCAATCGGGGTTAAGTGACTTGCTCAGGGTCACACAGCTAGTGTCATGTGTCTGAAACTAGATTTGAACTCACGTCCTCCTGACACCAAGGCCAGAGCTCTATCCACTGTGCCACCTAGCTGCCCCCACATCGTTATTCTGGCATATTAAGGTTGCTTGTCCATTTGGAACTTTTTTTGTGACAGATGATGTTAAGAGAATGGTCTGAACCCAATTTCTGCCAAACTGTCTTTCAATAGGCAGATGCCCCCTAGTAGTATGTGTTCTTGGTTTCTGGCAAACACCGGGCTACTAGGTTTGGTTTCTTCTACGTCTTCCTTTTCAACAAGCGCCAACTAGTTTTGATGATTACTAGTTTGTAATAGAGTTCGACATGTGGTAACCCTCATTCTTTTTCATTTCAACTTTTCCTCATTATTAGCCTTCTGACCCTTGATTTTTTGGGCCTTTTTTGTTATTTTCAGCTGCCAAATTGATATATATATATATATATATATATATACATATATATATATACATATATATATATACATATATATATACACACACATATATATATATACATATATATATATACATATATATATACACACACATATATATATATACATATATATACACATATATATATACATATATATACACATATATATACATATATATATACACACATATATATACATATATATATATATATATATTTTTTTTTTTAAGGCAATTGAGGTTAAGTGACTTGCCCAGGGTCACACAGCTAGAAGTGTCAAGTGTTTGGTCTGAGGCCGGATTTGAACTCAGATCCTCCTGACTTCAGGGCCAGTCCTCTATCCACTGTGCCACCTAGCTGCCCCCAAATTGATATTTCTAAAGCACAGATCTTACCCCCCCCCAAAAAAAAAGTGTCAGTGACTCCCTTTTGTTTCTAGGACAAAATCCAAAGTCTCCTGTTTATCATCAAGGGCGTGTTGATTTGCAGACCATCGTCATGTTATTCCCCCTCACACACCCTCTGCCTTTCCACAGGTTGTCTCCCTTGACTGGAATACTCTGCTTCCTCATTTTTGCCTCTCAGAAATGCCTAGCTCCCTTAAAAGTTCAGCTCCAGCTCCATATCCAAGGTAAAACATTTCTTAATCCCCTCATTGTGCTAATGCACATCCCCTTCCTCTTCCCCTCCGCACACACACCAATTATGCAGTATTTACTTTATATATGTAGCACCCTCTCTGGGCTTACTCTCCCAACCCACACTTGCACTGATGTGTTGAATTCCCACAGGGTGGCAGATGACAGTCAGATGGCAATAACTCCCCTCGGGATTCTAAGGAAACCCAGAGGGATTGTGACAGCTAGGTGGTACTGCAGTAGCTAGAGCTCTGGGCCTGGTGTCAGGAATATTGGTTCAAATACAGCCTCAGACACTTACTAGCTATCTGACCCTAGGCAAGTCACTTAACTTCTGTCTGCCTCAGCTTCCTTATCTGTAAAATGGGCATCATGGTAGCACCAAATTTGGACAGCCAAAGAAAGTATTGGATTGAAGAATGAGGTGTAAGAAGATTAGAAAGGTAGGGCCAGGTTAAAGGGTTCCTGATAGGATTTGCTCTGCACTTATCACAGCGCCTGGTACACAGTAAGTACTTAATAAATATTTCCTTCCTTTCTTCCTTCTTTCCTTCCTTCCTTTTAATACTACTGCTCATGAGCCCCCATCTGGTGCATTCACCAACATATATATCAGTCAGGTGACATCAATTAGCTTTTACAAAGGGATATTTATTAAGAAAGTATAACGAGGACAGAGAGTACAAATACATGCCCCAAATAGGAAGCCCCTTCTCCCCTTGCATATACAACGGCCCTGGAGAGAGTAGATTTGGTCTTATAGCAGTTGATTCTAATGCAGTGAGTACACATGTAGGTAACATGTGGGGCCAAGGAGAACCTTGTAGTGGATGACCCCAGGAGTCATCAAGTCCTCACTAACTTTGCATCAGGCTGTGGCATCACAATGGATGAGTTGCCCTCTTGCTCCACAGGGCTGGTTCCTTCCAATGGGGTCTCGAGGCTTCTGGGTCAAACTAATGTGTGCTGGGTCATGTGGCTCCTGCTGCTGGACCCAGAGGTTTCTGCTAGTGACTAGAGTTGCTGAGAGGGATCTCTGATGGTTCTTCTGAGCTTTGGAAGTTCACAAGGTCATAACCTGGTTACTTTCATCTCCAGATATTCATTCACCTAAAATCAGGAAAGAATAAACCAAAAGAAACAGGTAATGTATGTTCATAGGTACATGGAGGCTAGAGGTAGCGAATGGTGCTGGCTGCTGTTCTTCCCCAACCCTGCAGCTCATAGAAGCTCTCCACTAGAGACAAGACTGAGAGGCCATCCATTCAAACTTTTACATGTCCTTTCACCTCTGCCTCAGCCTTTACTGAATCATCAGTCCATTGGACCTTCGGCCAATCAGAAGACTTTTCATCATCCCATAGCACTAAGTGGGGGTCTTCAAGGCTGAAACTGACTTCCAAAGCTCACGTACTAGATTGACAACAGGCAAAGAATACTGCCCATACCCTGTGAAACCCACAAGGAAGGAAAACACTAAGCATGCTCTAAGGATTAGTTCCTCGTTGACCATCCCCACCAGGCAATTTTTAATGGACTTATCTGTGTTTATTTCCCCTACCCAGTATTCATTCCACTCTTCTACCACCTCTTCTCCTGACCCTTTATACCTCTCCCTTAAATCTTCCCTCCCATAGGTCCTTTATGTCACAGCATGATATCACATTGTTCTTTCCTTGACCACAGTTAAATTTCTTTTAAAAATAATAACCTATGAATAAACAAACGAACAAAAAAACCAAACGCTAACATTGCATAGTGGACAGGAAGCTCGTTTGGGAGTCAAATTACATTGGTAGAAAAGCTGATCAACAGAAATCTCACAAACTGATGAAATTACAGGTCTTGTAAAGAAAAAAAACTCCTACAAATATAAAAAAATGGATTTCACTACTTAACATTTTCCTGATTATTATATACTTCATTCCTTTTCTTGTGTTTCCATTGCTTGAGGCATCTGTTTGCAAGCTGAATATTCTGTTCACTTCCCTCCCTCACCCTCCCTCCCTCTGACTCTCTTTTCCTCCCTCCCTCTCTCTCTCTCTCATCCCTCTCTTTCTCTCTGTCTCTAATGCTTCAAATGCCTCTTTCATTGAAAGTTCATCTTTTAAAATTGACCAATAGACTTGGCTTTGAAGTTTATAATATTTGGACTTATATCCCTAGTTGCTTTGCTTTTAGGAATATACTATATTTTGTTTTCTTCCATGATTTCTCTTGACTATAGAACGATACTGGGTTATTCTAATTAGTTTTCCTTCATACTTGAAGGCCTTTCTGCCACGTTTACAAAATCTGTTGCTTGTTATTGACATTGTAAATTGTGAAACTTAACCAACTCTTCATCTCCCACCAGCTAGATTCAACTCTGTTGTCATCATGCCCAAGCCACTCTCACCTTTAGATTTGTAGCTTTTTTTGTATGTTGTCTTCCCCCAATAGATTGTAAGCTACTTGAGGTAAGGAGGGGATGTCTTTCTTTTTCTAATTTGTGTCCCTAGCACTTAGCATGGTGCCCGGCACATTGTAGGCATTTGATAAATGTTTACTGTATTATATTATCCCCCCCCCCAAATTCTCATTGGAGGCTCTAATTTCCAATCTAATGCATTCCTAATATTTTCTTGTAACAGTTTTATTTCTCTTTGGAACCATTGATTTCTAGGTAGTTTGTACAATTGTCTTTTTGATTCAGGAAATATGGTTCATTTCCCTTCATGGTGTAATATTTTTCATACCAGGCAGCTAGGTGGCACAGTGGATAAAGCCCAGGGACTGGAGTCAGGAAGCTTCATCTTCTTGAGTTCAAATCTGGCCTCAGACAATTACTAGCTGTGTGACCCTGGGCAAGTCACTTCACTCTGTTTGCCTCAGCTTCCTCATCTGTCAAATGAGCTGGAGAAGGAAATGACAAACCACTCCAGTATCTTTGCCAAGAAAACCCCAAATGGGGTCATGAAGAGTTGGACACAAATGAAATAACAGAACAACAAAAATATTGTTCATATTATTTCAGTCAGTGTCAATGTATTGAAGAATAAGGTGTAATAAGACTGGAAAGGTGGGGCTAGGTTAAGAAGGGCTTTGAACACCAAAGTGAGGATTTTGTATTTGCTCCTAGAGCCAATAAAGAACTACTGGAGTTTACTGAGTAGAGGGATGGAAGACATGATCAGACCTGTGCTTTAAGAAAATCATTTTAGGGGACAGTAGGTAGTACAGTAGATGGAGCTCTGGCCTTAGATTCAGGAGGGCCTGAGTTCAAATCCAGCCTCAGACACTTGACACTTACTAGCTGTGTGACCTTGGGTAAGTCACTTCACTTCGATCACCTCACCAAAAAAAAGGAAAATTATTTTGTGCAGCTGGAGGATGGTTTGGAGTGGGGAGAGCCTTGTGGCAGACAGACCCACCAGCAGCTCTTGCAATAGTCCAGATGGGAGGTGATGAGGGCCTGCACCAGGGTTGGGGCAGTGTCAGAGGGTATAAGGGTTTGTATTCAAGATTCTGCAAAGATGAAATTGACAGGCCTTGACAACAGCTTGGATATAGGGGGTGGGAGAGAGTGAGGAGTTCACCTAGGTTTTGAGCCTAGGGAACTGGGAGGATGGTATTGCCTTCCGCAGTAATAGGTGGCAGTGCAGTGAATACAGCACTGGCCTTGGAGTCAGGAGACTCCTTTTTCTGAGTTCAAATCCAGCTTCCAAGCTGTGTGACCTTGGACAAGGCAGTTCACCCTGTTTGCCTCAGTTTCCTCGTCTGTCAAATGAGCTGGAGAAGGAAATGGCAAACAACTCTAGTATCTCTATAAAGAAAACCCCAAATGGGATCATAGAGAGTCAGATAGGACTGAAAAACAAGTATAACTCTAAATGATCCTCCACTCATAGTAGGAGGCAAGAGGAAAACTATTTCTCCCTTTGGCCCTTTTACAACTAGGAAAAAGCTGTGTCTCAAAGATATTATGTGACTTGCAAACCTGAAAGGGAAGTTTCTTGAATGTCAATCTCATTTCTACATCAAAGAGCTTATAGGATCACATTTCCAATTTGTACCAAACACTGGCTCTCTGACTTTTCGGGTCCATTTCAAAAGGTGATATTAGTTCAAATTGGTTTGTAGCTCAAACTTAGCTGAGAGCAATTTCTGAGGCTGCCATCCAGAGTGGAACATTTCACTTGCCTATTAATCACAGAAATACAAAATGTCAGAGCTGAAAGGTGCTTTCGGGACCATCTATTCTAAATTCGGAGAGAGAAATTGAGGCTTGGTGAGGGGAAATGACTTGTCCAGATTCGCATAGCTAGTATGTAGGTCTTCCGAATTCCTACCAGTTCAGGGCTCTCTGTTTCCCTGTAAATGTCAGATGCATTAATAGCTTGCATTCCAAGTACTACATTTTTCTTGCAAAGGACAATTTCACTGAATTACCAGTTTGCTAGTAATGTGTCACAGCTAGAATTCTATTTTTGCCCCTGAATGAGTAACACTATTCCTCCTTACCCCAACTCTGCCCTCCCAAATAACAAGGGGTTTCTAGGAAAAGATATTTCCAAAGGAAGTCTTGCTTGCACTTAAAAGTTAACCTGCTAATATGGATCAGTTGGTCAGTCAATGAATATGGGGAAATTAGGAATGGGTTTTTTTTCTTAAAATTTCAGTTTTGGGCATTTGGAGTTTAAAATATCTATAGGACATCTAGTTCAGGAATGTTTAATAGGCATTTGGAGATGTGAGACTTGAGGTTAGCAGAGATGTTAGGGCTGGATAAGTAGATTTGGGAATCATCAGTATAGAGATGATAATTAAATCCATGAGAGCTGATGAGATCACCAAGTGAAATGGTATAGAGAGAGAAGTGAAGAGAGGCCAGAACAGAGCCCTGTGGGACACCCACAGTAAGCAGGTATGACCTAGATGAAGATCCAGTAAAGGAGACTAAGGAGCATAGTTCCAAACTGTTTTCCAGAATGGTTGGACTAGTTCACAGTTCCACCTACAATGCGTTAAAGTACCTGTTTTGCCACAGCCACTCCAGCATTTGCCGTTTGTCTTTTTTTGTCCATTTAGTCAATCTGATGGTTGTGAGGTGGCATCTCAGAGATGTTTTATTTTACATTTCTCCAGCTATTAGTGATTTAGAGCATTTTTTCAAATTGTTATTGATAGTTTGACTTTCTTCCTCTGAAAACTGTCTATTCTTATCCTTTGACTATCAATTGAAGAATGGCTCTTTTTCTTATACGTTTTACTTGGATCCATATATATATGCATATATATATATATATATATACACATACATACATATGTATATATTATATATATTTTAAAGAGAAACTTACTGCAAAGATTTTTCTTTCCAATTTTCTGCTTCTCTTCTAATTTTAGTTGCATCGGTTTTATTTGTACAAAAACTTTTTAATTTTATGTAATCAAAATTGTCCATTTTATCTCCTAGGAACCTCTCTATCTCTTGTTTGGTCATGAACCCTTCCCCTATCCATGGGTCTGACAGGTGATTTCTTCCATGCTCCTCTAATTTGCTTACACCTTTGTATGTCTAAATTATGTTCTCATTTGGAGCTTATTGGAAAACAGGGTGAGATATTGGTCCATACCTAGTTTTTGCCAGACTACTTTCCAGTTTTCCCAACAGTTTTGAATAGTGAGTTCTTTTCTCAATAGGGATCTTTGGATTCATCAAATACTAGGCTATTGTGTGCATTTGCATATATTGTGTACCTAATCTATTCCACTGATTAGCTATTCTATTTCTTACCCAGTAACAAATTGTGATGATTACAACTTTGTAGTATATTTTGAGATATTATCCTTCCTTTTTAAAAAATATTGATTCCCTTAATATTCTTGACCTTTTGTTCCTCCAGGTGAATTTTGTTATTATTTTTTCTAGTCCTATAAAGTAAACCTTTGGTAGTTTGATTAGTATGGCATTGGATAAGTAAACTAATTCAGGCAGTCATTTTTATTATATTACCTCAGCCTATCCATGAGTGCTTACTATTTTTCCAATTACTTAGATCTTCTCTTTTTGTAAAAAGTGCTTTATAACTGTGTTCATAAAGTTCTTGTGTGTTTCTTGGCAGGTA